TGCTGAACATTATTCCCTGCTATAGATTTGCATTGCTATACTGAGCACTTGTCTTACCTTTTCTTCTACAAGTAAATTGGAATTGAAAAATCTTTGAGACCACTTGAAGTTAAATTTCTTGGGATTTTTCAGCTTCATTGAGCCTATAAAAGCCTCTAATCCAGACAGCCTGCATCGAAAAGAGGCAAATTATTTTACCTTTGGTGGATGTAACAGCTTACAAAAGCATTGCCATATGTGTAACGTGTTGTTATCATTTGATTGTTCTACAAATCCACCACAAAACTTGAGTAATTGTATTCTTGGTATAAAAGAGTACCTTTATGGGTGGAGAGGGTAGAACTCAGGGTGGGTTGTTGGGGAAGAGAAGTTGGAGGGGTATGGAAAATATAATTTTCATTAAATTTGAAGTGAAAAAATATTCCCACACTGAGCCAGAATCTCTCTTGCAAGAATTTCATACTAACAGTGTTGCCATAAGGTGTTTATTAACTGAATTGTCTGCTTTGATTTTGAATGATAGCATTTTGGATAGTATATGTACTTGATATTCAGTATTCCACACCAGTTCTTTGTTTTCTACTCTATAATCTCCCTGTATATATCAACGATTTCTGAAATTTACAGGGTATTGTTTAAGATCTGTCTGGCATGTTTAGATCATGCTAAATGGCTCTATAGACTGAGAGAGACACACCATCATTTTGAAAGATTCTTTAATCTACTTAATTTATGGATAACATTTTTGATTAGATTTTAATATAGTTTAATCAGTTAGATTAAACTATATTAAAATTAGGTTTTAATATAGTTTAATCAGATGACATGTCCTTTCAAATGATCTAGATAGGTATTTTTTTAAATATATTTAAAAAAAGACTCGAACATTGTTAAATCATACCTCTCATTTAATTGAGAAAGAGTAGAAGAACATTAAGAATGTCTTTAGGAAGTCCATTTTCACTAGCGATGATGAAGAATTACTAAATTTTGTCTCCCTTGCATTCACAGTCATAAAATTTTTCTGTTGGTCTTTTGATAATCTTGACAATCTAATTATAGTTCCATATTTTTTACTTAAATAGTTTATGAGCTACCTACCAATCATTTGACTCTGTTGTAGTCTCTATAAACTAAAACTTAGAATAACTGACTACACTTTCAAAAAACTCACCTACCTTTTTAATGACTTTCTTTGGGCTCCTTTTTGAGTCTAGCATATTTCACCAGCTAGAAGTAGGTCCCACACATTGTTTCTGATTACATAATATGCCAGCACTCACTCTATCCTCATTCTTCCCAAGGATATTGTGTAATAATACAAGCTAAATAGATTTTCACGATAACCAGACTTATTGTCAGTCCTGGAGGTTTCAGGTTAAGGCTGACAGGAGTGGCTCACCTGTTTTTAAAATCCCAGTAAAACCTCCCAACTATTACTGAGGGACTGCCTAATCAGAAGAACTCCATGTTTTTGAGATGAATTAAAATCACAGGTTGGGGCTTCCCTGGTGGCGTAGTGGTTGAGAGTCCGCCTGCCGATGCAGGGGACACGGATTCGTGCCCCGGTCCGGGAAGATCCCACATGCCGTGGAGCGGCTGGGCCCGTGAGCCATGACCGCTGAGCCTGTGCGTCCGGAGCCTGTGCTCCGCAACGGGAGAGGCCGCGGCAGTGAGAGGCCCGCGTACCGCAAAAAACAAACAAACAAACAAAGGTTATTAAATTTTGAATGATTTGCTTCCCATGCAAACATATAATGTATTTGTGCAACTTCCACATGAGAGTCTAAATCTAAATTATCAAGAGGAATAAAGTTCATTAATGACTACTGAAACTGAAAATTTTTTCTAGTACTAGTCAAATTAAATAGAGTCTTGAAGTGATGTATTTCACTTGCTTGATGTTGTTCCTCTTCAGGGCCTACATTTTAGAAAGTGAGGATAGATGGGTTCTGTGGATCAGTAATAGAAAGTTTTTCCCCCAAAATCTTGGTAGAAAACATAAGCACAAAATTTTAACTAATTTAGCTGTCACTGAATTTGCTGATATCCAGTGCAAATAGAAAAGCAGGGCACTGTAAAGGAAATGTTTGCTGTATTTCTGTTATTCATACTGTTGAATCAGTTCAATCTCAGTGTCTTTACCTGTTGACATCTGTATTCTTTTCCCTCATAATTCTAACTCTTTCACTGTAGGTCTGATGAAAGTGATTCCTCTCTGTCGGAGGTACACAGGTACTTTCTTTCCTACGTTCTGGCATTTCATTGATGTTCTAAAATGCCTTCCTAGAAACTTTAAACAAATCTCATTTTTGTTGCATTCATAATTTGTAAACCATATAAATGCACTGATGTTTTTAAACATTAATTTTAATATATTTTTGTGATCATACCTTTCAAAGTAGTGGTAAACTTCTTTATATGATAGCATTAAAATTTGTGCTATTTGTATTCTGTCTATAACCTAAAACTTATCTTTAAAGAAATTAAGTTCTTTGAAAATTAATGTAAACGTTTGCTCCTCAATGGGTTTTTCCACCTCAAGGCATGGGAAGTGAATAAGGTATTTTTTCATGTTGATTTATCAATTTTAAATAAAAAGTTTATGGCGGGCTTTGTGATTTAAAAAAAAGGTATACTAGGGGAAAAAAAAGGACGCTATGGTACCTAAAATATAGAAAGATACAGAAAGTAAAAGAATTCTAAAAACATAATAAATCGTTTTAACTGGTAGATGCTGTTTTTCAAATAACAATGTGGCATTTTTTTCATGTTTATGGGTTTTTTTGGCCCCCTAATTTCTCTTTTTTCCTTTCATTTCCTCTTCCCACTAATCAGTTTGTCTCCTCTCTCTTTGCACTTCTTTCCCATGTTTTATGGCCATTTTCCTGATCATCAGTAGATCCTCCAGAAGGTAGGCAGGGGAAGGGAGAGGAAATTAATCTTATTCACAGTATTACAAGACATTACTGGTTTTGCATGGATCAGAAATAAGCATTTTTTCCCTTCACATCAGATCTGTTGTATAAGTTTGCAATATTTAACCGTAACTTAAACTATTTTAAAGTTGATTTATATACTTCAGAATGTGGATAGTTTAATTTTAATAGAGAAAGAAATACCATGGGTTTATGTTTCCAATTTCTGTACTTTTTCTATTACCTTTTGTATAAGGTAATCTCTATAAAATATTAATGCTAACATTCTGAATATTTGAGAGTATCTTTCAGTATCTAATAAATATGATGCTATATTTAATGTTGAAATTATTTTTCTTCAGAAATCTGAATAAATAAAACACATAAGAATGAAAAAGAGACATCCTGGTCTCTAGGGCTATGCCATACATAAGTTACTGGAGGCAAATATTCACTTTTGTAATATTACAACCTTTAACATGACAGAATTGTGTTGTACATTATATCATCAGGAAACATTAATAGATTCTTAGGATAAAGATAGTAATCTGAAGGAAGGAACTCTTTTGGAGACATAGTGCTAAATAACCAAGTGCTAAATAACCAAGGGTACTGTTTAGCTTTTTTCTTAGGATGATTTGTGTCATTAAATGCAGATCAAAACAGCTCTTAGGTTATTAACATTAATTCTTTTCTTTATAATCAGCTTGTTAGAATATACATACATATATATTTAATGCTTTAGAAGAGCAGCAATTGACTATGCATTAGATCATAACTTTTCAACATTTGAAGCAGTAGTTATAATTTGATGGCTTCAGTTCATAGCTATAAACCCCACATAATATTGATAGGATTTCAAAATGACAGTTTTAGACTTTTGAGGAGGTTTTGCTACCATTTCAGTTTTAATCTGGTTAAGTTCTTACATTGCCAACAAGTTACTGAGCATTAATTTCAAGAATCTCAAATTGATGTGTGAATGCAAATAATACTTTGGATTTTGTAATTATACACCCATGTGGTAACAATTCCTGGTCTTATTTCTGGTAATGGGGAACTCCCTTCACTTTTTGAAATCATTATAACTAAATCCCAAAAATAAAGTTTTTTTTTTTAAATCCTAAGCCTAATTTACCTCCTTTAAATTTTTATTCATTGGTCTGTCATCAGCCCTCTTGAGCTATGCTAGATTTAATCCAGTATACCTTTTTTGTGTGTATGTGCCAGCTCTTTAAATATTCAGCTATTTAACTGTGCTTTTGTATGCTCTCTCTGATGAAGGTTCTCTTATCAGCTCAATAGTTTTAGATTCATCTGTTGCTAATATGATATAGTCTGCAGATCCTTCTTTCTGCTTCCACTGTTTTGGAAAATCTGATTTTTCAAAGCTGTTTTAAAATGTGGCAACTGGAACTCAGCCTCATTCCAGATGTGGCCTTGGCAGAATATAGTAGCTCTATTGCTTTCTTTCTCCTGAAATACTTACTTCTATTGCACAAGTCATTGAAAGTGTTGGTAGAAGAATCATAATTTGTTGATTCATTGATCTTGTATTCAATAAACAAATTTCTTTAGCTTTTAAAATCTAATTAAGCTCCTTTCCTACTTGGAGCATTCTGTTCTATCTTCAACTTAAATTTTATGTTTAAATTTTATCCAATGAATATTTTAGTGCTAAGTACATACTTAAATGGATTTTTGGGGGGTAATTTTTCTAGACAATACCGCTCTGTAATATATCAATTTAATAAACATGCCATATCTGTCTTGAGTTCTGGGGAAGGACTGACTAGATATTGAAGACCTTTTTCCAGACTGAGAGGAACATTGACTCTTTAGGGGTGACTCTTCAGCCACTGATGGAACTACCTTACTACAACAGTTTCATACTTACCCACCATGTCCATAGGGATATCATTTGAAAAGCTTTTTGTATGGACCTTATTGGAATCAACATATATTGTGAATATGACATTCCCCTAATTTCCTGCCTACTAATTCTACAAGGACCTTCCCCTGTGAGATGTTATCTCTTGCTGATGAGCATTTAAGTGTTTGTAATTATTTGTTTAATATTTTCCTCTATGAGACTCAACAAGTTTTACTCATCTGTAATTTCTGAAATCCACTTTTTTTTCTCCTTTCTGGAAAATTGGGTCTACATGTTTTATCCCCTTTATTGATCCTCTTAGTATACCAACAATGATTTTGCCTCTGCAAAATCACAGCCCTGTGATCTAATGATTTAAAAACAGAAATACTTGAACTCACTGAATAAGTCTTCATTGTCAGATCTAATGTACCTTGGGCTTACATTTCTTCTTAATTATTTCTGTCCCTCGCATCTTAAAGGTTGTTCTCCTTCATCAGGAAGATGGAAACAGACAGCTTTGTTTTATTGCTGAATCTGTCCTAACATTATGCCATCTGTCTTATATAATGGACATATTTCAACATAATTTTTCTTCCTGCTCTGAGCAAAGATACATCCAACTTATATATTTATCATTTCTTAATTCACTCTCATTTTTAGTCTTCCCAATACAATTATTTCAGTTCAGATCCTGTCTTAACCTTCTTTGGGATAGGGACAGTGTTTTGATAAATTTTATATTTTCATAGTTCATAGTCCAGTAGCATAAAGCAGAAATTCCAGAAATATTAAAATTATGAGAAATCTCCCTAAAGAGCATCACTGTTCTTTTAAAATCTTACTCTTTTTTAAAAATCGTCTTTGAGATTGTTAAAGTTTTAAAAGTTTTTGTTATTTTTGAGCCATTCTCCCTTTAGAATTTCAGGCTATGCAATCATTCTTGTATTTATTCAAATTTGTTTGAAATTTGCTTCCTTAGTATTTTAGGTGGTATGTATTATACTTTCTTTAGAATGTCTTTTTTGACATAGAGTCGCATTCCAGGCTGATAGTCACATCTTCCAGTTATCCATCATTTATGCTTTCTCATTTTTCATAATTCACTATATTTGAAGAGCTCCCAATATTACTTCATTAAATTTTGAAGAGATGAAATTGTTAATAAGAAAATCCAATTTATCATGACTTTGCTCTTTGCAGAATGCACCTGCTAGCTGATGCCTAATTAGTTGATGCACTCCATCACTACTATTATAATTTCACACTTTGTCTCTGTCCTTTTGCTTGAAAAAGAGACAAGGGAGCAATCTGGATTTTATTACAGTACAGTATTATTTAGAAAGACTTCTTAAAGCCAAAGAAAAAAATAAAAAGTAGTTTCATGATATAGCTACTAAAGTAAATCTTATTTTTTTCCCCCACCTCAGGGGCATAATCAACCCATTTCCAGCTTTGAAAGGAATCAGAGCTTCTCCACTTCAGTGTATTCACATAGCTGAAGGGCATACAAAAGCTGTGCTCTGTGTGGATTCTACTGATGATCTTCTCTTCACTGGATCAAAAGGTGCTAGTAGTTGTGCCATGTGGATATTTAACATATGTTTTTTTAATGATTACATTTTAACAGGTTTTTTAAAATGTCAAACTGCTTAAGACACATAAGAATCTGAGAGATAATCTCATTCAACTCCTGAATTATATAAAATATAAAATCATTGCATAGTTGGGAAGAAAATAAAACTTGTATTGATGTTATATGAATAGAATGGTGAGGGAATACATCTCCTTTTGGTAATTGAGCACCTAATACATGCAAAGCCCTGAGCTTAGTAATGCAGGCTATATAAAAATCTACAAAAGGCCATTACAGTGTACAGTGTGGTAAAGAGAATAAGATGGGTAGCAACCACCATTTCTTGAGCACTTACTCTGTGTCAGAGACTATGCAAATTTTATCTCATTTAATTCTCACAGTAAACCCAATGAAATACATGTTGCATCCTAATTTTACAGATAAAGAAGCTAAAGATTCAAGAAATTAAATAGTTTTCCCAGATAAACTTAATTAGTAAGTGAAAGAGCCAGGATTAGAAACCTAGATCTACTCATCTCCAAACCTGCACTCTTAACCCCTTTGGTGAAATTGCAGGCAACTAGAAATTAACTGTAAATGATTTGAAGAGTTATAGACAAAGAGTTTCGGGGTTTCAGAAAAGGGAGAGATTATGCTAAATTGTGAAAAATAAGGAAGGCTTTGATAAGGAGGCATTTAGGATGAACCTTACAGGATTGTTTGGATTTGACAGGTAAGCATTGGCAACCAAGATTAGAGAACAGTGTAAGCAGAGACTTGGAGGTAGAAGTGGGTTTGGAAACTAAATTCAGTTGGATTGGAAAGTAGAGTATATTTAGGGGCAGTGGTGGACAGTGAGGTTAGAAAAGTGAGAAGGAAGCATGTACAGGAATTTGGGAAGCTAGTCAAAGCTTTTTAGCATTTAGGGATGTTACAAGGTGAGGGGAAAGTCTAGCTAGAACTTGTGAATTGTGAATAATGGCAAGTAATTCCCCAATTTAAAAAATTTGCTCTGTAAAAGAATTTTCTAATGATTCAAATTAAATTTATTAGTCCAGGATAATTAGATATTTAGCATGTCAAAAAAATAGAATAGTTCTATGATTATGTTTTTGGGTCAAAAATGAAATCAATCAGTGACCCCTGGAAAAGAAAGGTGTGTGTATTCCTACATGTGGAGTGTGGTGAGTACGTAAAAGAGTGATCAAAGCAAAATGTCTCAAAGAGGCTGATTTGGGATTGCCATTTTAAATTCAGGAGCAATTTGAAACAAGATTAGCTTGATATGTCTGTTTCAAAATTTTGTATAATTATTTTTTAATACCACATAATGCATACACCAGATATCCTGGCTTTCATCTAATCCTTTATACCTACTTTGCCCTTCAACCTGCTGAAAAGTGTCAAGGATAGAGTTAGGATGCCTGCTGCAAGTTAATTAAATAATTACTGTTTTCTTATCTCATTTTTTTTCTCATAGAAGAGAAATTGTTATTGTTAAGAGAATCTAATTTAGCTCATATTGACAGTATTTCCTCTTTTTTATTTGTTTGTTTTTAGATCGTACTTGTAAAGTATGGAATCTGGTGACCGGGCAGGAGATAATGTCACTGGGAGGTCATCACAACAATGTAGTATCTGTAAAATACTGTAATTATACCAGTTTGGTCTTCACTGTGTCAACATCTTATATTAAGGTGTGGGATATCAGAGATTCAGCAAAGTGCATTCGAACGCTAACGTAAGTAACTTAAAGACAAACAGCATAAGGGGCAAATAGTTCTTGTTTACAAAATGTAAGAAAAGATAGGCCTATTTATGCATTTTTGTTTATTTATACCTATCCACTTGCAAAGAATATGAAAGTGTTTATAATAAGAACACAGATAAAATAAGGTGGAAAAAAAACTATTGAGAAAATAAAATACAATAGCTCAATATTAAACAGGAAAGGAGAAGTCATATTTGATCTGTGACTAAATACATATTTCATATTTCCTCCCTCCCAAATAACTAAGGAATTAAATTTTCATAGTATTCATTAATTGATGTAGTTAAATGATTTACATTACTTGCTTCAAATGAGTACCACTCTTTAGAAAATGGCTGAAATCACCATTATAGACTAAGAAGTACTTGCAAAATTTAATTAGCATGTATTGAATAATACATGCTAATTAATTGAGGAGTTTTTTTAAGACTTACACTGCTTTGGTGCTAGCCTATATTTCATAACTGTAGGTTATGTTGGACAACTGGAGGATGAATTTGTTTTCTACGTCTGTTATCATATATGTATGTCTTTAAAATATAGAGCAAATAGTGATTCTTTTTGCCATAAGATTGATGAACTGTTTTACATAATTAAAATTAAGGTGAACTCTGTTGGTTTAAATAAGAGAAGGGAGCATAGGAATGGTTAATTTTTACTAATTTGTAGAGTGAGGATTATGAATATTTAAGTGCTATTTTATATTTTGAGAATTACTAATTATTTACTGTACTGAATACAGGTCTCTTGTGGAAAATTTTGTAGAAAAAAAACACTGTATCTTATGTTAGAAATTTACCAATCCAGTTGACTCATTAAAATCAAAATCAAATTTGAAAAGATTGATTATAACTTGGTATTTTAGAAGTTTGCTAATAAAATGTTTCAAAATTTAAAAATATACTTACCATTTAGAATTTAGCTGAGGAAATAGAAATAAATCATATTTAAGTCTTTCGCATATAGTAAGTAATCCTTATATGATTGGGTTAAAATAAACAAAAACTGAAAATAAAAAGTCCTTAGTGTCTTTAATTCATAAGGGCAAATCTTATATATGAAAGGAATACTGGTAGGCTTGTTCCTCAGGGAACTTCTGGAAACTGCAGGAAAATGAATTAATTTTGTGACACTGTATCATTTGTTGAGTTTTTGTCTTTGTCATCTAATCTTTTCTGAATCATATTTAAGTCATTCCTAACAGGGCCCAGAATTCCTAGTGTTATAATAACTTGCAAATTAAGAGTTTTAAGCCATGTCATCTTGTTTTCTTCATTCATTTATTCATTCATCAAAATGTTTATTTATTAGTGTGTATGAGGTACTGTGCTAGGCACAGTGCATACAGTGACCAAAGAACACAGATCTTCTTGTTGTCTACAGCCAGTTTCCTAGGAATGTAAGGAATTCTAAGACTAACTCTTGTCCAGAAATGTGACTTATTTTGCTTTACTTTGTCTCTGTTAAGGTCTTCAGGTCAAGTTACTCTTGGAGATGCTTGTTCTGCCACCACCAGCCGGACAGTTACTATTCCTTCCGGGGAAAACCAAGTCAATCAAATTGCACTGAACCCAACTGGCACCTTCCTCTATGCAGCTTCTGGAAATGCTGTCAGAATGTGGGATCTTAAAAGGTAGAATTTTAAAGAAAATGTACTTCCTGTATATGGCAAATGCAATTTTCACACATTAATAGCATTAGTGTGTGTGAAATCTAATTTGTATAACCCCAGAAGTTAATATAAAAACCTAGACTTATCTGTTTGATTCAGCACCACTAAATGTCTATGTCCTCATTAGCAAACTCACAATTTTCCTTTCTTTTAATCTCCATTGCTGGGAAAAAAATATATGAAGGAAAATAGCCTTGCTTCATATTTGTCTATAAGTTGTGTTGTTTACCAGGAAGAGAACAAGATTCTCATGCTAGTTGCATCAGTACCTTTGAAAGAATTTTTTTTTGTAACATCACTTATGCATCATTATCTCAAAAATTTCAGTTTACAAACCATATAACTTTAAGCGTAAATCTTCACAGGATTTTTATAAATATAGAATTATATATATATACACATATATATGATGAAGTATTAAGAAGATGAAGTGAGTACAAAGAGAAAAATGATAAATTGAAATATAAGGCATTACATCTTTGATTTGATTTCTTATTTGCCATGAAGTATGAGCTTTTATCCTTCATTTGAGTGTTTATTTTAGCTTCTTTTCTAGTTCTTAAAAATTTGGCAGCAAGGGAATATTTATTTATTAGTTAATAAATGTTTATTCAATATCAATTATGGCAAGCACTATACCAACACTTGTGGTAGGTACTGGGGATAAAGACTGAGCAAGACAAATTTGGTGTCCATCTTCTTAGAACTCATCTTGTAATGGAGGATAAAGGCCATTAAAAGGCAATTACAAGATTCTGAGTAAAGTTTGTAATTCAGGTAGTATAGGTAATTCAGGTAATAATCCCATCTAGAAGGGCTTTGTCAGTAGTAAATCAAAGGGAAATTTACTTTAGAAATTCTGAGGAAAACTGGTTATAACTTGTAACATTTTAATGCATGACTGAGAAAGTATTATAAGCATAATTTATAGATAAATAAATGAGAGAAAGAGAAAGAAGAAACACAGTCCTGAGAACTGTTTTAGAAAAAAAAAGTAGAAAATTGAAAACAGTGCTTGTTTAAGAAAATTAGGAACGAGATGAGGACTGGGTTTATTCTTGAAGATATTAAACTTGATTTGTAGTTGTAATACCATGAAGGAAGATACTCAAAGTCATGACATGAGGCAGAAAAGATATCAGCTTTTGAAAATCTTTACACTTTCTTTCTGCTGAAAAGTTAGATCATTTTCAAGTTGCTTGATTTCAGCAACATGATTAAATACAGATTCATCTTAACAAAGTAACTAAGAAAAGAGTTACAAGAAATAATAATATTCTAGAAGGCAAATACATCTCTGTATTCCAGCAGCTTGATTTGAGGTAGGACTATGAAACAAAGGTTCATTGTCACCCCCTGACAATGGGCATCACATGTTTTTCTACCAGTCAGATATATTCCTGGTCATTTTCATGTCTTTGTAATAATTGATGAAATGGACAACCTATTTTCTGACATACATGTATATACACATATATACATTTGTATATATGATGGGTGTACATATATGTGTATATGTGAGAATATGTTAGTGTAGTAAAATAATTTTACTTTCTTCATATTTTTATTTTCTAGTTATATCAGTGACATAGTTGTTTTAATCAAATTTCAAATTGGCCCTAATAACATCAATCATATGTCTATAACATGTTGAGAATTTAACAGATTAACGTTTACCTGGACTTAGGTTAGAGTTAAAATTAGCCTTTAGCAAGTTTTTGGAGTTTTGATTTTTTTTTTTTTAACTACCTGAATGATATTAGTTGCTTTGAAATAACTTATTTAGGACTCCTCACACTTCCATCAGAGAATTGATTAGTTTGGCCATTATTTTTACTCTTAATTTGAACAGAGTTGCATAGAGGTGGAGTTAAATCAAAAAGAACAGTTTTAGCAAAGACTGTTGATTATTTTTGCTGAGGCTTAGGCTCAACATGCTAAGAAATATTTTCAAACAAAATTATTTTTCTCTCTTTTTAAAGGTTTCAGTCCACAGGAAAATTAACGGGACACCTAGGCCCTGTTATGTGTCTTACTGTAGATCAGATTTCTAGTGGACAAGATTTAATCATCACTGGCTCCAAGGATCATTATATCAAAGTGTGTATAATAAAGTTGTTTAATTACATTCTCCTATTAAATTATAGACTAGAAGTATTGAGATGCACCTGGGACCCTTTTCTCTAAATCAGTTTTCTTTTTTCTCATTTCTAACCTTTGCTTTTTCTTCCTGATCTTTGCCTCACTCGGTTCCTGGTTGTGTTGTCTTATTATTTAAACATGTATTCTCACTTTTCATAGAAGATAGGTTGGGAGGGATTTTAAAGATTTTTTTGACTCAGTCATCCAACTAATGCTTAAGTCTCATCATCACCACCTTTAATGCTGAACATGTTATGGTCTTCATATTTTATGCAAGTAGCAGATAAGATGAGGAGAGAAGCATAGTTTGATTCTGGAGATGTTAAATTTGAGATGCTAATAGAGGACCTTCTCATGTAGTCCAGTAGGCCATTTGAAAGGCAAGTCCAGAGCTCAAGATAAGTTATGACTAGACATGTATGTTTCGGAGCTGTTCAAATAGAAGCAGATGGTTAAGGAGTTAGAGTAGTTGACATGGCCAAAGGAGAGGGGTTGATATGACTCAGCCTTGGGGAATCCTATAAGAACCAATGGGAATAAAAAAGAGGAAACAGTAATAAAGAGAGATAGGAAGAGTATAAGTACTATTCTTTAGAAACTTTGATTAAGAGATGAGAAATCGGTTAGTGACTTGACAATAGAATGGTTAAGGTGAGAGGATTTTATATTTGGTAGACTTGAGCATGTTTATATGCTCAGGAAATGGGCTCAGTGGAGAGGGAAAGTGTGAAGAGTGAAGTGGTAGCAATTGGTGAATCAGATCAAAGATGTGAACTTTGGGGAAAATTAGGTACACTTTAGCATCTGAAAAGAAGGGGAGGGTAAGAGAATGTTTGAGAATAAAAGGAAACTTTTGTAACTGGGAGGATGGTCCAGAAAGTTTATTTTTGGTCATACTAACCTTTTTAGGAAATCACAAGTTCAACAGTTAAGAGAGATGAGAGCAACTGAGGGGAGTGAAAGGTTTTGAATAGCAGCTTTGGAGAATTTGAGATGACCACCAAGATTGCAGAGCTACCTAATAGTGTTTAAATAACAATCATATCATTTATTTGAATTTCAACTGGATTGATATGTAGCATTTTTATTATTTAACATATCATTTGTACACTCACACATGAGCAAAATGGTTCCCTTTCTTAAGAGCTTACAGACATGTAAACATGTGACATGTAAGCAAAAGTAGTGTGAAGGTAGGGCTTAGGTTCATCCTGAGTCATTCATAGCAGGTTATTTTAGTTAACTTAGTAAAATAAAACAAATCATATCTGGTTAATATACGTGTGTGTGTTTCTATGAATGAACGCATATAGGTGCTTATTTGTAAGTTAAATAGGATGACTGCTTCCTTTCTGCTTTTATTTAGATGTTTGATGTAACTGAAGGGGCTCTTGGAGCTGTGAGTCCCACCCACAATTTCGAGCCCCCTCATTATGATGGCATTGAAGCATTAACCATACAGGGGGATAACCTGTTTAGTGGTTCCAGAGATAATGGAATCAAGAAATGGGATTTAGCTCAAAAAGACCTTCTACAGGTAATGCAAAACCTTTTCATGGGATGGAGTGGGTATTTCAAAGTCACCAGTATTCTATATAAGAATGCGAAGAGCCTCTATGTAGATTTTCATTGTTTAGGGATGGTATCAAACAGGGCTTCCTCTTAAAGAGTGTTTCATCATCACCCACCAGAGTGAAAAGGGCAACATTCAACATTTAATGATATCTCCTAAATAAAAGGGGAGTAGACTCTAATAAGAGTTGGAAGATCTGGGATTGCACCATGCTTGTGTTTACTAAATGAAATCAGTCTTGGAGTAAAGCAGTCAGTTTCTCATTTTGTTTTTGTTTTTTTTGTTTTATGTATACATATTCCAAAGAGTATACAAAGAGTACCAAGTTTCACTAAGGTCAAAGCAGTCTAAATGATTCCTCATCTCATTTTCATACATTCAACCGTGGTGGTTCTCTCATTTCCTATAGAATGATAGTTGGATTGAAGTGTTCTGTCAATACAATCAAACATTGGTGGCTTTTCCTAATTCCCAGAGGAAGAAGTTAGTTAACAGATAAAATTGTACTCAATTTCAGGCTTTTCCTTATAAATGTATGCGTGTGTATGTATTGCAATTACTCCTACTTTCCTGCTTACAACCAGATGAAAACAAAATGAACAAGTAGCATGAACGTTAATAGAAAAAACCTGGCAACAGATGCATATATTGCACTCAAAAGCTTTTCTTTTATAGATATACATTCTTGGATGTGACTTTTATGTTATGTATATAAATATATTTATGCATAAAATATGGTATACAGTCTGAGCTTATAATTATTGTTTACTCATTGTGAAATATATAGGTTAGCTCCAGCCTTCAACAAAAAGCTTTAGGCCTGGGGCTTCCCTGGTGGCGCAGTGCTTGAGAGTCCGCCTGCCGATGCAGGAGACGCGGGTTCGTGCCCCGTTTCGGGAAGATCCCACATGCCGCGGAGCGGCTGGGCCCGTGAGCCATGGCCACTGAGCCTGCGCGTCCGGAGCCTGTGCTCCGCAAATGGGAGAGGCCACAACAGTGAGAGGCCCGCATAACGCAAGAAAAAAAAAAAAAAAAGCTTTAGGCCTCTATGTTCTCTTCCAAAATTTAAGGCAGTGATTTTATGAGACAATCCTTATAGTCTACACACCAGGTTGTAGTTTTCAAACTAGTTGCGTGAGATACATTTTGGAGAAAGGTGAAATAGTTACTCCTTTGAAGAGAAAGTGATGTTTGAAAAATTCTGTATACTTTCCAGGTGTTTTAGATTCTATAGATTTTTCTTTTTTAACATTCTAGGCCTTTAATACTGATAACACTGATGATAACTAGTGAGGCAAATTTAGGAGCAAATTACATATTTATTTCTTTAAATCATGAAGAGTGACTTCACAGAAAATGATTTTTATGGTTTCCAGGCCAATTCAGTGTTCCAAATTTTGAATTTTGTCAATAAAAACTTTTGTAACTTATTTTGGTATGAAAATGTCAGTTTGGACTACTCCGCTTAAACTGCTGATTTTTCTTTTTTTTCTCAGCAAGTTCCAAATGCACATAAGGATTGGGTCTGTGCCCTTGGAGTGATGCCAGGCCACCCAGTTTTGCTCAGTGGCTGCAGAGGGGGCATTCTGAAACTCTGGAACATAGATACCTTTGTGCCAGTTGGAGAGATGAAAGGTCATGAGAGTCCTATCAATGCCATATGTGTTAATTCCACCCACATTTTTACTGCAGCTGAGTAAGTTTCTGCTATGTGATCTTTCTCTATATTGTTTACTTGTATTCAGATTTAATAAATCCTGTAAGTTGTAAATATCTGAAAATGTAGAATATATGAATCCTTTTATTACAGTTATTCTAATGTCTATTTATGATGTCTTATTTATATTTTCTGAGAAACACTGTGGGCACTGAGTTTGGGCTCCCCTGGTTACATGGTAATAGTGTTACTCCTATATCGGCTCTCTGATTAGACTAAGAAGTCTGCCAGATCTTCCCCTGGTGATTTTAATTTTAAAAAAATCATTCATAAGTGACTAGTTTCTAAAAGCTTTTTCCAGAAAGGCAACAAACTTGTCATTCTTCACATTTAGACCATTTCATTTAAAAAAAATAACTTTGTGCATCTTCCACCTCCTTTAAAGTTTAAGTACATAGTAATAATATCTATTTGCCTCCTAAGATGGCTGGATTGATTAATTTATTTGCTCATTTGCTTATTCATGATGAATCTCCTATGTGCCAGGCACTGTTCCAGACCCTTGGGAATAGAGAAGTGAACAAAATAGATACAAACCGTAGTTTCATTCTGAGGAGGAGAAAAGAAAATAAATAAGTAAAATATGTTACATGGTGAGAAGTGCTATGGAGAAAAATAAAGCAGGGAAGGGGGATGAGAGCATCACTGGGGGGCAGGGGTTACACAATAGAGTGGTCAGTGAAGGCCTTACTGAGAAAGTGACATTTAAGAAGATGTTTGAAGGAGGTGTAGAGATGTGACCATAAAAATGACATAATAATTATATAAGTACTTTGAAAAGGAAAGCATATATACTAACTGTAATGTGAGGTGTTCATCTCAATCAAATAAAATGTAATTTCTCATGAATATCTTGAAAATCTCCCTATGTCATTTGTGTACCAGTTATGTTACTTAATTTGACCGACTGCTTGATTTGTCTGTCCTAAATGCACGATTACACTGATTTTATTTTGAAACCTCTGCTATATTTCTCTGGTGTCTCTTATTATTTGTGCTGTTTCCATTGAATCCCTCTTCTCATTTAGATTTACTTTCTCTCATCTCTAAGGTACATCAAAGCCAATTTCTTTTGTGTTTTTCTAAGGTGTTTACCTTTAGTGCTTCATTGATGCTATTTCCAAGATGCATTACTTTCTTAAGAGTCATCACTTTTATTTGTTCCCTTGGAAATTTGTTTTGTCCTTGACAATTTATGGGAAATAAATTAATATCCCTCAAAGCTGTGGGACACTCAAGATAAGACTATAAAAGTATTATGTATCACTGAGGTCTGGTTGGTGAGGTATGATATAATACTTTTCTTCCATGATACAGTTTTATTTTTGAAGAATTGAAATTTTTCTCAGTTTTCCCATGGAACATCAGATACAGATGTATTTACCAAGTAACATAAAATCAGGAAAATCGCCAATAAAATCAGAAGGCCTATTTTCAAATTAATGCTACTTATTTGTTATCTAACAAATGTTTGTATAGGGCTTAGTATCTACCAGGCATTGTTCTAAGTGTTTTCAGGCTTTAACTCATTTAGTCTTCATAAGAACTCTAGAAGGTGAGTATTATTATAATCCCTATTTTATAGGTGGGACTTTATAATTCAAAGTCCTTGTATAAGTAATTCTGTCATATCTGATTTCTGGATCTCTTGTCACTGATTGATTTTTCTTATGATTATCGGTCTTATTTTTTCTGCTTTTATGTCAAGTAACATTTTATTGAATGTTGAACATTAATTATAGTATTGTGTTTTGAGTATCTGGATTTTGTTCTATTCCTTTAAAGAGTATTGGGCTTTGTTTGTCAGGCACATAAGTTACTTGTGGTTCAGCTCATATTTTTGAGACTTGTTTTTAACTCTTCTTGGATTTCTACTGAATGTCTTGAATGTTTGATGCTGTTCTCCACTGGTCAGAACCTGAACATCTCACAGCCCTTTGTGAACTCTGGGATTTGTTTGACTTATACTCACTAGTAGTTTTTTGGTGTGGCCTTATAGTCTGATTCTACTCATGTGCAGCTTAGCCTTCAGTCAAAAGCATTAGGGGACCCCTATGTAGATTGATGGAATTCTTTTCCTATAGCTCCATAGTTTTTTTTGTTTTTTTTTTTTGCGGTACACGGGCCTCTCACTGTTGTGGCCTCTCCCGTTGTGGAGCGCAGGCTCACCGGCCATGGCTCACGGGCCCAGCCGCTCCACAGCATGTGGGATCTTCCCAGACTGGGGCACGAACCTGTGTCCCCTGCATCGGCAAGCAGACTCTCAACCACTGCGCCACCAGGGAAGCCCTCCATAGTTCTTTTTGCATAGCTCTCGCCTCTTCTCTATCTGGTTCTACAAATTCCAACTATTTCACACTTACCAGATTTTTATTTCTCTCTCTTCAACTCTTGATTCTGTGATTTTTCTGCTTGGTTTCCCACATTGCTGTAGTCTGGAAAGTGCTGCCAGACTGAGAGCCAGGGCCATCACAGAGCTCACCTTCTCTGTTTCCCTTTTCTCAGAGATTACAGGCCTGAACTACCCATTGCCCAGTTTCTGAAAATAGTTGTTCCATATATTCTGTCAAGTTTTCACTTTGTTTACAACAGGAGCGCTAACTTGGCACAGGTTACTCTGTCATGACTAGTAGTGTAAGTTTGTTCACCTTAAACTTCATATGTCCAAAGCTGAACTCCCGACCTTCCTAAGAAACCTGCTCATCCTAAAGCCTTTTCCATCTCAGTTGATGGCTTGTCTGTCTTCTCTGTTGCTTAGTTTAGAAACCTTCATTCCTCTCTTTCTCTCACACTCCATATCCAATTCATCAGCAAACTCTGTTGGTGTTCTACCTTTAAATTATATCTAGAATCTGACTACTTCTCACCATGCCTTTTGCTGCCTCACTGACCCTAGTCACCATCAGCTCTCGGATTACTACAGTAGCCTCCTAAACAAGGTCCGTTGCCCATATGTAGTCTATTCTCAACACAGACACCAGAGTAATTTTTAAAAAATACAAGTCAGATCTTGTTCCTTCTCTGCTCAAAACCTTGCATTGATCATCCATTTTATCTAAAGTAGAAGCCGTTACTTGATCTGACCCTTTGAGCATTTACCTCTCACCTTACCTTCTAGTACCCTCTGGCGTGCTCCTTCTCTTAAAACACCAATAACATCTTTGCTGGTTCTTGAACATATCAGGTTCACTCCAACCTTAGGACATTTGCCCAAAGTGCCTTCAGAGATCCTGATCTTCTTCTAATGTCTTTCTTTCTCGATAAGAATAACCTTGCCATTTTATTTGAAATTGTGATCTCTCTTATCAACTGCCACTCCTGATCCTGATCCCCTTTGCCATACTCTTTAATTTCTCTGTAACATTTATTACTTTCTAATAAACTTTATAGTTTAATTATTTATTAAGTTTTATTGTCTGACTCCTTTTGCTAGAATATATGATCTACAAAGGCATAGGACTGTGTTTTTTATTTATTTGTTTATTTTTAATTGATCCTGAGCACCTAGAATAATGCCTAGAACACTGCAAGTTCCCAAGAAACATTGTTGAATGGATGGTTGTATAAATGAATGGATAAATGGGTGGATGAGTGAACATATCCACTTCTGTTTTCAGTTACATGTGCTGTGTGGGATGGGGAGAGATTATTATTTCCCCCCAGTTTTATTGAGATATAATTGACATACAGCACTGTGTAAGTTTAAGGTATACAGCGTAATGATTTGACTTAAATATATAATGATATGATTATCACAATAAGCTTAGTTAGCATTCATCGTCTCATGTAGATACAAAAAAAAAAGAAAAGAAAAAAAAGTGATTTTTTTACCTTGTGGTAAGAACTCTTAGGCATGAGAAGATTGTTGATTAAAAATTAGAAAGCCTGAATTCTAGGCTCAGCTCTTTACTCTACTATGTTACATTGAACAAGTCACTAAACTTTCTTTATCCTCGAAATGGACTACATAATCTTTGAAATACTTTTTAACTATACAATTCTATGGCAACTCGTTCTTTTGGCTTTGGGTTTGTTAGGAAATGAGAGAAAAGCAACACTCTCTTTTTAGAGCCATGAGAGACATGGTAAGAAATGTGATTGTCTAATGACTAGTCCCCAGAACCCACATGTTAAGTGAATAAAAATAAGTTTTCTCAGAAAAGCTTTGAATTGTCTATGTTCTGTGATAGGCAAAATGTTAGACTACTTCTTAGTAGCCTCCTGCTTTTTCTGTGGGCTTATGTTGACTTAACCTGAACATAATTCTTTCTGAATATGAACAGATTCACCAACTCCCTGGAATTCCTGCCCTGGCCCCCTCACTGTGATCTTACTCTGGGCTCTTATGCCTGAAGACCTCTAACCATGTCATGTTAGTAAAGTCTTTAAGAGATGGAGCCAGACTGCCTGGTTTCAAATCTTGGCACTATCACTTACTTTGTGATCTTGGGCAATTTTTTTTTTTTTTTTTTGGCCGCACCTTGAGACATGCGGAACTTCCCTGACCGGGGATCAAACCTACACTCCCTACAGTGGAAGGGCGGAGTCAACCACTGGACCACCAGGGAAGCCCGATTTGGGGCAAATTAATTAACTTCTTTGGACCTCAATTTGCTCATCAATAAATAGGGGAGAAGAGCATTATCTATATCTTATGATATGTAAAGAGAATTAAATGCATTAATATATGTGAGGGGAACATGGTAACAATACCTGGCATATAGTAAGCCCTTGATAATATGAACTACTTTTAATTTCATTATTATGGGTACCTGTTTGGTATACCTATGGGACAATGTATATTTTTACTTACATCTATTAGAGATCTTTTCAGAAAATGTTTCCATGATAAGTAATTCTACGAACTACTTTATCTTGCCACCTCTTTTCACATGTTCATTTTTAATTTATCATTGTGTAGTGATCGAACTGTGAGAATTTGGAAGACTCGAAATTTGCAAGATGGTCAGCTCTTTGACACAGGAGATACGGTGGAAGATATTGCCAGTAATTAAACGTGAATGAAGATAGTCATAAACTGAATACTGTGATTATACTCTATGTTCTTTATGGAAAATGTTGTCCTGCATTTATTAGGCAAAAACTTGTGAATGGGATTAACTGGAAAATATATCTGAATCCAACTGCTGAATATAAATGGTATTCTAATAAAATTGTGTACTATCCTGTGTGCTTAATTTTAATATCTACCAATGCATATATAACCTATAATTGATATGCTGCTTGATTTGCACTTATATAGTGGCTGGATTTTTATGCCTGGCTATAAAGAACATCTTCAAATTATTTGAAGTACAACATATCTGCTTTTGTGACAGTCAGAAAATACACTTGGAATACAAAGCAACCCACTGTTAACTCATTCATATAGTCTGTTCAGATGATTTACATATTTAAAACATATTGGGAATGTTAATCAAACATTGGTTTGTCTGGTATTTATATCAGTCTACAGAGGGCTCCCAAATTTAAAAGCTCTTTTAATGTAATGGAAAAAAGATATGAGAATATTACTGATGGTGATTTTTCATAAAATGGAACTAACTTTAATCTGCTAACAAAGAAGGTTAAACAGATTGTGTTAGATGTCGACATTTACTTGTATTGACCAAAGTTTTGCAGCTGTGCTATATTCTGTGCTCAGGACTAAAATGCTGTTAAATTGCTTTATTAGTGCTGTGCATACATTCTGTGATGGGAAACATTTTTGATGTCCTAACAAATATATTTTGATCTATTTTCCTATGGAGTTGTTTCTATTATCACCCTTTAATTTCATTTTTATTTATAGTAGTATTTCTTTCCCTTTTTATCTAATTTTTTATGTGCTGCTAAATACATTTTAAATGTACTATGTTTGCAAACCTTGGTAGCTATGATGAGAACTATATCACCTGCAGTGAGGAAAGCTATGTAAATAGGTAGATTGTAAAGAGAGAATGTCTTATGTTGTAACTATGAATTTTTAAATATTGTAGGTTGGATTTTGCAAAAGGATGTATAATTTATCTGTCTGCTCAGAATATTAATTTGTAAATTCTGCAAGTTTAATTTTTATGTGGATGATATGACACTTGAAAATATTGTCTTGTGATCTTTTTCCCCAAAAATATTTGTTTGTAAATGAAAGCTTAGCTAAGGCTTAAATAAACGTGTCGCTGTGAATTATTTTTATTCTCTTGTTCTTTTCCTAATATGAAAATGGCCAGTGTTTGTAAAACTTTATTTTATCTGTGTGATATAAGGAAAGACATTTTCTTGTTATCCAGTGCTACATATGCATTCCTTTTTTTGCTCACTAGACATGAAATATTCTTGAAAAATATAAACCATAACTTAATCTTGAGGAACCAAGGAAAGTCACTATTTAAAGGAATTAAACCATATAGTTTAGGGATTTGAACATAGATGGTTGAACAAGTGAAAAATATTCCCATAACAGTTAGGACAATAATGACCTTGGTTACTTGGAGAGGAAATGGAAGGCATGGTGACTGGCAGGTGTCGCAGGAGGTGAGTTGGGACTGTAGAGGGGTATGGAGGTCAATAGAAATGTTCTATTTCGTGACCTTAGTCCTAAGTGACATATTAAACTGTAATATATTTCTTTCCTATTTTATATACGTATGCTGTATTTCACAGTGAGATTATATATATATATACACACATATATATATCCCTTCTTTAAGTTTATATATATATATATATATATATATATATATATATATATTATATAAAATGATATATATATATATATATATATATATATATATATATATAACTTATAAAGAAGGGATTTTCCTATAAAGAGAAACTCAGCTACTTTGTAATTTGTAATTTTGCCTCCTTCCTTGGAGGAAGATACTATGCCAAGACTTGAGAGAGATTGTCTGGACTACTTTGAATTTAAATACTCTTGGGCTGTTTCTTTTCATGGGACTATTGCTCCACAATTCATTTTCTGGACAATTTATTCAATAAAAGTTTATTGGGCATATACTGGGCCAGGTACTGGAGATGGAAAAAATAACAAGACTGAGATGATGCTTGCCCTCTGGGTGGAGAGAGATGATAATTACACAACAGCTTAGTAAGTGCTCTGATAAGGAAAATCCAGGTGCTCAATACCTATTAAAGGCATTCAATCCTGACTGTGATTTCAATTAGAGGTCTTTTATGTGGTCCTGAGCACTGTGTCTGCTTATGCAGAACACAAAGCCCATTGTCCATTTTTCCTTTTAAAATGCTGAAGGCTCAGATAGAGTTAATCTGATTCAAGTAATTTAAATGAATATGTAAACGAAGCAGTTCTCTTAAAGATTTACGTTTTGAAAAATGTTGGAGGAGTTCATCAAGAGGACATGGCCGCTGTTTGATTCTCAGTCTGGACCTAGGCAATTAGAGGTTTCTCACCCGCTTCCCTGTCCTTGTAACGTATATTCCACTCATGTACCTTCCACTCACCGTTCCGATAGCCAGAGCTGTTTCAAGGATGCAGCCTTGAGAGAGCAATGTGTTATTTGAGACCATCTGTATGGTATATGTGACTGAACCCAGTTAAGACCTCTATATATACTTTTAAAATTTTGGCGGGCAGGGGTGGAGATCTCCTCATCTTGTGGCCACCAGGTTTAGCCTTGTTTGCAAATTCCCTTGCTTATTAAACCTGCCACATACCAATCTGAAGTAGTCTGCCTCTTTCTTCAGTCTCTCCTTGACCTCCATGTACAGGGGCCATTTTATGAACCAACAAAAGATAGTGTTAACCCCTAAAGATCCCATCCAGAATTGTTAACAATAACTCTTAAAATACTTAAGAGTTAACTAAAACTTAACTATGATTAAGTATGATTTATTCCTCACTGTATTAAATATATGCCTTGTTCTCCCAGAATAGCATCTTTCTTTGGAAGATACTATTTCTTCTTTCAAATCAAAATTTCTGCATTTTAATTAAAGAGTAACAGCAAAGTTTTGCCTATTAATTATGTCCACATTTATTTATTTAATTCCCAGCTGATGTGGGGTCTTTTATAAAAATTTAAATTAACATAATCAACAGGTAACAAGTGTTCCATACTGCTGTTTGTAATTTTTTCCTAAGCATTGCCTATACTTTAACTCAGAATCTGTTTTTCAAATTCTGTTTTCAGCCTCAGAATAGACTGTGTTCTTGCTATGTTGAGGATTTGATTTACCAACTATCATGCAGTTGTTGATAGCTGGGATTCTGTATTTGCAAATTACAGATATAAAATGTACAGATAGCTCTATATGAGCATCACAAAAATAAGTTATCTATCCATCTAGTTTCTAACCATAATGAAATGCTCAGCTAACTTTAAAATGTTACAGCTGCCATTAATTTCCCTCTTTTATTTTTTTGAGATGAAGTTAATAATTGTAATAGCCAATACTTACTGAGCATTTATTTTCCCTTTGTTTGTGCATCCCTGAAATGGGGGGAGTCTTAAGGTGCCATAAGAGTCAGGAACACCTGATTTCAGAGATGTTTAACTGAAAAAACAATGCACATCCTAGAATCGGTGAAATCCAGTATTGGTGAAATATATCCTAGAATTGATGAAGTATAGTATTATAGGGGATTCTGCCAAACAGACAAAAATAGCGACAAATGTCCACTACGTCATGTATGGCAGATAATATGATTTCAAACCCCTTCTAATATGTTTTTGTCTGTTAGATTTAGGAAAAGGGAAGACTACATTTCTCAGACTTTCTTTCCATGTGGGTTCTACATTTAACCTGGCTTCCACCACGTACATGAACCCAGGCACAAAGTGAACTGAGTGGAATCAGTGCCTCTGCAGCAAGTTGGGAATGCCTTTGTTTCTCCAGTGGAAGCAATGCCAGGGCCCCAGCTTTTGGCACAAGGTATGGGTGTTGAGAGGCAGGGCATAGGGTACACTTTCTGTTGGCACCCGGCTGAGGCGGTAGTCCTGAAGTCTGTAGTCAGGGCCGTGGTTCCCTCACTCCATCACCCATCTTCCTAATTGTGGTGGAAATGATAACTTGGTGGGCTAGTTCTGGGGGTTAACCTAACACCTACTCACAATTTTGTAAGCACCCGTTGCCCTCTATGAAATTCCTTTCTGCTTAAATCAGATAAAATGTTTTCTGTATTTGCAATTGAACTAAAAGATGCACTTCTTTGTGACCTGTGTTTTAAGATACTGTATTTCTTCCATTGTTTTTTTCTGGACACTAATTCATTCTCAAGAATGAATTAGTCATTCTCAAGAATGACTATACTCTTTTCTCATTAACCTATTTAATTGTTTTTAAGCTACTTAATTTTTGAAAACAATACTTTTAGTTGCCCAGAGTCTTTTTATGTCCTCTTTTAGTCTTTTAGTCCTCTTTTCTCCCATCTGGCAGTTCTGTTTTGCTAGGAGACCCCACCAGTTATTCTGTTTGTCTTCCATTCTCCAGTTGCTTAGTCCCCCTTAGGTATAGTTGCTCTTAGTTTTCTTTGCCCACTCATGATTCTGTTGACCCTGGGTGGTCAGGACAGTCTGGTGGTGGGGACACAGCACTCTGCTCTAGTAGGCCTTCAATTTGCAGCAGATGTCAGTCCTCTCTTGGAGCTGGGTTATCCCCTCTGCTCTCTCTGCCTCCCAATCTGCAGGTGTTAGCCTTCTGCCATATGTGCAGCTAGCTGTCTCACAGCTCTACTGGGCCTGGAAGATTTTGCATATCTCCCAGGACGACAGGCATTCAGAGGTGCTGCTCTTCCTGTCTTCTTTCCTAATGTCTCTGACAACCCTATTAGACAGACAGACTCTTCAGGCTTTCAGAACTGTCTGGTGTTTTATTCAACAGCGGAAGCAGACAGTATCAGAGATACAGTTTTATGCTTCCTTACCCACTGAAACTATTTTAACACTGTCACTGAAAAAATATCCAAAAATTAAAAACAGGATGATGAGAAGCCCAATATCAGTTAGGACTGGATTCACCTGCATGAACCAGA